AGACGACGTAAACGAAGTTAACAAAGTTAACATAGTTTTCTAAGGATCTACATTAGGAAGATCATCCTAATGATTTTTAGTGTAACAATAGTTTAAATAAACTCTCTCTGTGATAAATTACTTCATGATTAAAGTATAATAATTATATATGGCTATGTAATTATAATGTAATTAATTTAATATAATCATTTAGTATATGAAAATATTAAAATTTATTTTATAATATTGATTTTATTTATTTAAAATAAATATTATTATAGTAATATTAATATTATAATATAGTTATTTATTATATTAAAATAAGTATAAAATATTATAATTTATATAATTTTGTTATAATTTTAATAATAAATTAATATATTGCAAATTTATATATGTACTGTAATTAATAATGAATAATAAATAGTAATATTGCAAATTTATATATGCAATTAAGCATTAAATTTCATAAAGTAAATTTTATTATAAATTTTTTTAAATAACCATTCAAAGTTTAAAAAACATTTCATTAGGTTTTTTCTAATGAAAAAAATAATTTTAATCTTTGAAAACGTTTTTATTACACAGAGTTTATTTAAAAAGTGTGATTTATAGCATAATAGAAATATCAATTTTAAAAAAATATGAAAAATATAATCAATACATAAATATTTATTTGAATATCCAGTCAAATTTAAATAAATCAAATTTGTTTGTATCTTCAAATTAAATTATTAAATTTATTTTTTAGTTAAAATAATAACATCTGAATAAAATTTTATTAATAACCGCTTAAATGATCAAACTTTCGGAATTGCTCCGGATATTTTTTATAAAATTGGACATCTCATAAAAAGATTGTACAAAAAGTTTTGGGATTTTACAATCCATCATTTAAATAAATATGCATCATTCCGTAAATGTTATCGAATTTCTAATTTATTCATGAAAATATTAAAATGTTAATTTTGTCAAGTGATTCTGGCCGGGGATTATGCATGTATAATAATTCTGACCACCAAATCAAGTTTAGGCCAAAGGATCATAAGGCTACCACCAAATGCCTTATACCAGTTTTGTGCAGCAACTATACAGTATGAATTCAAGAAGTCGAAGGAATTTTTCATGAAGAAGCAAAACTTCACTTACAAATTAATTATTTTTTTTTTTTTAAAACAAAAAAAAAGAATTAATTTTAAGTAATAATTTACTTTGAAGAGTACAAAAAGTTTTTTTCGTAACATATTTACCGTACTTTGAACATTTCTTACAAAAAACTGTACAAATAAAAATGGCTTCTAAATTTCCCAATGATTGCATTTACGATATTTTTGAAAATTTGGGCAAAAAACCTTTACGTTCATGCTTACTAGTTAGTCGTTTTTGGTGTGAAGTCTCTGTTAGACTTTTATGGAGAGAATTTTTTAGGGTTTACCCTAAATTATATTTATCAACACGATACCTTAGCATATTAGTTGCGTGCCTTCCTAAGGAGTCGAAGAACCTTTTACATGAAAAAAAGATTTTTCTCCCAACTTCAACATCAAAACCTCCACTCTTTAATTATTTATCATACTGTAAGGTTCTCTCCATTAATAGTCTCGATCAAATAATTTTTGATGTTCTCACGAGTCCACCACACAAAACTTTACAAGAACAAGACTTAAACAACAATTTACGGCTAGTATCGAAAGTAATATTGAAAGAGTTCTTTAGACAAGCACCTCATTTAAAAGAATTGTTGTATTGTTATTATTCAACGGGTGCGGAATTAACTTTTTCCAATCTTGCTTTTCCCGAAGCCATGGTAAGTTTTGCGGACCTTTCAATATTAACCTGTAGTTCAGGAATTCCCTCGGAATTTTTTTATCAGTTAACTCAAGTGTGTTCTAATTTACAATCACTTGAGATAATATTTGATATGTCAATTTCGGATAATTTAAAAGAGTTAATTATCGCGCAAAAGAATTTAAAAAACATCACAATAAGAAATAATACCGAAGTCGAGATGAAATCTCTTATACCTTCCTTGGCGAAGCATTCAAACACCATCGTCAATTTAAAAATCTACGAAGCCTATGTCAGTTATCCAATGTCCTCTATTGCTGCATTCACCAACTTACAAGAACTCACCGTTTCACGTATCGGCATATCCACCATAATACCAGATGTCATATATCCACGATTACAAAGCTTAAACTTGGATGGTTGCAATTTACCATCAATTAAATTCTTGGAAAATAATGGGAAGAATTTACGAGATTTGCATATCTTTGAATCTGATGATTCTTTAAATTTTGCGATAGCTAGATTTTGCCCAAATCTTAGATCATTATTTCTCAAATTTAAGAGCAACCCTACCGGATTAGAAGCTTTGAAAATTCTTTTGTCCAGTTGCTTACAATTGGAAGAAATTAAAGTCTATTGCGGTGGTAATTACTTAAATGAAGACGATATATTAGTTGCCGTTGCATCTTATTCGCCTAAAAATCTTTATCAGTTACATATACGTTACGATGATGAATTGAAAAGGGAATTATCTCTGGTCGTATTGGAGGGATTTTTTACAACTTGGATGAATCGTATGCCACAAAAAATACTTTCTCTTATTATTGAAGGGTTTTATTGCCCACGTAAGCGTAATATGGTAGCTAACCTTGAAACTTTAAAAATTTTAATGAAATACAGTAAGTTAGGTGTAATCAACATAATTAGGAGTATTTGACAAAAATCATACTAGCATAAAATATTTAAATTTTTGGTAAAAGATATTGCGGAAGTTGAATTTTCCGGGAAAAGATCAATCGTAACTGGAAATTATTTATTAAATTAACATTGCATAATTTTTAACTTTAAAAGGAATTGTGTACTATTATAAATACTCATGGCTAAATAAAAACCAGTTTTATTATTATAAAAATGGCACTATTGTTATTAATAGGATGCATAAATCTTGTGGTATGTAATTTGAGAAATTTGAAACGAATGCATAGATCCATCCATTAATTTCTTGATTGATGTTTTTGAATTTTGAGATTCTTTCTTTCGTTACTGCATCAAATTTGATGTCTTATGATATTCATAATTTAGAAGCTTCATTTTAAATTTTTATAGTGAAGAAATTGTTAAAAAAACGAAAAGTTTATTTTTGCAGTAACACGTGATCAATTAAATGTCTTTTTTTTTTATTACGGGCGTTAGTAACCATGAAATAAATAAATTGGTTATTTTACCGCTTGATCTAATTCCGAAGATTCCAGAAAATATTTCGTAAAATGAAATTTCTTGCAGGGAAAACAATTCAAGTACTTTTAAAACGGCCCTTTCCGTCCAGTCACAACGTTTAAATGAAAAATTGATCATAAAGACCGCACAAAGGTACTATGAATACAATGTCGTTTTACGGTATTATATTAGCTACAGCTAGATTTTTGATGAAAAAAAAACCATTTATTTGGAGTCTTTTGAAAGCGTGTATTACAAATGCCATTCTTTGTAACCATTTTGTAAGTCGTCTGAAAAAGAAACATGAAAAAAACATTTTAGGTTTGGACTTTATGTTAAAAAAAAAAGTAAAAATAATTCTTCTTTATACCATTTGTTTCACGAATGTTTAATCATCATCTCATTCGTTCCTGGTTATATTGTTTATTAATTTTGACAATCAGAGACATAAAACAAAAAAAAAAGGAAAAAGATATTTAACAATCAAAATTTAAATTATTCAAATTAAGAAAAAGGAAATTGATTTTCCCCCCAAAAAGACCGCGTGTAACTGTTGCTTATCGTTATTCACACCACACCACGTCTTTCGTTTTTCAACTATTGGTGTCAAATGAAATTTTTAATTATGCAAGAACTTTCGTTTTACATATAAATTCCAAAGTAGTACAATAAAATAAAGGGAGATAAAACTTCCTGAAATACAAATTGGGTAATAAATATTAATTTTACGTTAAACAATGGTGAGAAAAGTTATATAAATATATAAACATATAAGGTATTTTAACAAGGAATAAAAAAATTTTTCATCATAAGAATTAAAAAAATTTTCACACTCCTTTTTAATATAATATTAGTAATAATAATAATAATAATAATAATAATAGTAAAAGAGAGAATGTCACTTAAATTAATGAAATCAAAAATATTAACAACAATAATAATATTTCATGTCTTAAGTATTTCAACAATATGCAACTCTCAGTATATTCCAAGTGCTAGATATGCAACGTCGAGTGTTTTGGTTGAGAATCGATTGTATTTCATGGGAGGGTGGGGACAAGAACCCGATGGATCATGGAATTGCCAAAATGATATGTTTTATCTAGATTTATCCAATCCACTCAACATGTCATCAATAGTTGAATTGAAATTTAAAGTATCAACAGCCCTGCCGGTAAGGATTTGTTGGGCATCATCATCTCTAGCGGAAGGGGGGAAAAAGATTTACATTTTTGGTGGAATCATATTGGAATCAATTAGCAAAGAATCAAATGAAAGTTCATCAATATATTCGTTTGATATTAATGCACAAAAATGGAGTGCACCAAAGATAAAAGGAATTGCTCCAGAAAGTCGACAACATTTTCAAATGGTTCCTGACAATAAGAATAACTATTTATACATTTTTGGCGGATCAACAGGAGAAATTACTAAAAATGTTAAATGGCTTAATGATATGAACGTGTTAAACACCAATGAACAATATTGGCAGAATATGATGATTCTAGGTTCGAAAGAGATCATCATTCCACCTTTTATGGCTGATTTCACTGCTACCATGTTATCGAGTGGCGAAATTGTTTATATTGGTGGGCGACAATCCACTTCTCCAAACGATGTGTCCTACATTTTAGCCAAGATGAATGTGGTAAACATACGTTAATTAATATGCAACTTCTTTATTTTTTAAACAATTATTGATTTTTCTAAAATTTTATTTTTAGATTTATGTTTTCAATACAAAGTCATCCAGTTGGAATGTCATCGTAAGTGTTACATCTTTAAAATGCATGAGAACATGTATGTGAATATGTCATATTAACATTACCTTAATCATGAAGAATGCTGGTGGTAATGCTCCCAATTCACGTATTGGACATTCGGCGGTTTTAGCTTCAAATAACAGAATTATCGTATACGGAGGGACGAGTGAAGATCTGAAAAATCCCGCAACACCCGACCTAGCGATTCTCGATGTTAATCTAATGCCTTATCAATGGATATCACCAAATGTCACCAAAGGCTCACCACCGTCTCGATCATTTCATTCAGCGGCAATGGTCCAAAATCTCATGTTCGTCGCATTTGGTAACGTAACGACGAATTCAATTTACATCTTGGACGTCAGCGATAACACAAATTTCCGTTGGTCGTCATCATATATAAAATCGAATCAAACACCAGACGCCACACAGGGATTACAGGAAATTCCTTCCGAGACGCCATTAAACGAAAGTCTATTCACACAAAACATGGCCCTCATCTTGGGTGCCAGTATTGGTGGCTTGATTAGTTTTATCATCCTTGCTAGTATCGGTGTTTTAATATACAAAAAATGGAGGAATTATCAAAAGATCATCGGGAGAAATAGACAATACCTTGAAGAAATTCCATCCACGCAAAATTCCAACAATTGAACAATTGAATATATAAACAATTTAAGCTTAAATAGAATGATTAGATGATCTTTAATTGTACATTTGGTGTGTATTTTATTAACTTTATCATAATGTGAACCATTCCTTCTTTAACTTGTTCGTTTGAAATCTACATTTAATTACTATTTTAATTTCACTTCTAATACAAATATATTAATAAAGTTCGATTGAATGAAGCGCAGTCAAGTAAAAAACTGTACATGTTTATTCCAAAATTGTCAAACAAACTCCATAAGGAGTAAATATTTATCTTTTATTTACTTTGATATATCATATGACACGTAGGTGTAATTTTTTTTTTTTTTTTTAGGTTTTTCAGGGGATTAATCTAACCCAAAATTGATCGATTTGGTTTATTTTTTTAGGCTGTATACGGATATATCAAGTTTTAATTTTTTTTTTAGTGAAATTTTTATAATTATCAAGATTCCATTCTAATAATAAATCTCAATCAATAGTTCGGCCGCCTTCACGACTAAAGCCGGCAATTTCAAAGAGTTGTGCGACAAATAACAAAATTCCTTTCATTTTTGTGATTTTTTTTTTTTTTTTTTTTTTTTTACCCTACAATGTAGTAGTGAGAATATGTTGTTTGTTCATGTTTTAATTTTACATAAATACTCCCATGAAGAATGCAAGGGGACAAACAATTTAAAAAAAAAATTTTTATTGTCTAAACTAACCATCTGCATAGTGTGTATAGTGTGTACAAAGGTAATCAAATTTTCTATTATTATGAAATAAGTTTTTTTTTTATATTTATCTTCAATTTTTTTTTTCCTTGTTCTTACAAATCTCTCCACTTAAAAAAAAAAAAAAATTTTTTTTTTTTGCTTTCGATTTTTAGTCTCATAGATAATACCCTTTCGCCGTCTCTTTACTTTTCCTCCTCTTTAACTCGCAAGTTCCTGTATTTTTTTTTTTTGATAAAAAAAAAAAAAAACCGCACAAAAAAAAAACTACCTTATCATGCCCACACAAAACAATCTTGGCGGCGCAGCTGCCGCTTCTCTCTTAGAGTTTGACTCGAGTATACCTTACGAAATTTTTATACGAAACTTAAAACTCTTACGAGTTGGCCAAGTCATTGTTGACTTTGAAATAATACTCGAAAAGAATAGAGTCATATTCTATGGTTCACCTAACGATAAGTCGAGGACGGTGAGGGGTAAAGTGAGGCTAGAAGTGGCTGGGAAGTTAAATGTTAAAGTATGCTTTAATATTGTTCTTTTATTCAAACGTGAAAAAGCTGTGCGATACATGTGTTGATGCGTGTGCGTTTCTCTGTGGGTGCACGCTTCGATACAGAGCACATGGCATGTATGCTACATATGCTAACGTACCTTTCTTTGTTTCTATTTAGGAAATTATGATAACTCTTGCAGGAGAATTTCATATTGCAAATGAGAATACCACCTCTTTTACATCTGATGAGATCCCATTTCAAGGAACTTTGTTTTCCACTTGCATATTGTTGGCAAATAAACGTACTCTTAATCCGGGTGTACATGAATTCCTATTCGAATTTAGTTTACCCGTAGATTTACCCGAATCCATGAGTTCCGATCTGATCTTATGCGAATACTTTTTAAAAGCTGAAATCATAGCACGAGGGCTAGGAGATTTAAAAGCTCGAAATAAAGTCGTGGATGTGGTAGATTTGTTTGTTCAACGGGCTATGCTACAAAGCGATGATTACATTAAACAAGGTCTTGATGCTTCAAGATACACTGGTTCCCGAGATAAAGTTCTTGATTTTGAGTTCCTTTTACCAAAAATCTTGAGGTTAAACACTGATGTCCTCACATTTCATGCTCGATGGGATGGTCTTCGTGTAGATTATGTAACGTTTTTGTTTGTTCAAACCGAAAGTTTTAGAGGTTCGCATGCGGATGAAGGTCATGAATTATCTTCTGATCGTAAAACAAAAGCTATTTCCGGACCTTTTCGCTTCGATATGCCTAGAAAAGAACCTTTGAAACTCCAAAGTCGACCAATGACTTTTCAATTGCCAATCACAGAACCTTTTGTCAGAGATTATAATCTATGCAATGTTGAAATTAGACATCAACTCATCATCTCCATTCAAATGGCCAACAAGAACAAGGAAAGCATTCAACTTTGCATTCCTATAATGATTGAATCAATTGTGGATAACATGGAAACGATACCATTACCTTGTCACATTAGTCAAAGTAACCAAGAAGCTTTTCTCCATTTCGCCAATAAGACTTATCGTGGTAAATCCCTCGAGGACAATAATCCATCAGAACCTCCTTCTTTGAATCGATTCGCTCGAACTGAGAAAAGGGAACGTAGCACGGTCGTTGATGATACCAATGAATCAACGGCGGTTGCATCTGAGTCTATCCAAACTAACGAACAAACTTTACAAGTTCCACGAAGAACTAGTAGTATCATCATTCGAAAAAACTCGACAAACAACAGTAATAATGATGTTAACGTTATCAACAACATTCACCATTCAATTAATACTATTAACGAGAGTGCTAGTGAATATACCGCCGACTATACCAGCAATGAAAACAGCAACACCATTGCCACAACCGTTACTTACACCAACAATACCGAACAGGAAAGGAACACCCAAGGTTTCCCACAAAAAGGATCCCAAAAGCCCACTTTTGTTACTAATTCTGGCAATGTGATTGCTGACAAAATCACAAAGATTAATCATCTTTTACAACGAAATCGCAGTAATATGAGAAGCATCCCGATTAGCAAAAAAGGCGCAAAACGTCCTGTTAGAGCTGCTTCTTCGGCATCTGCGGCTAAATTTGGTCCTTTATTGCATGAATTGATGAGCAGGTTTCCTAATGCTAACGCCGCTAATGTCAAAAAAGCTTCATTGACGACTTAACGAATTAATTTTTACGCTTAATGATTGATGGATCACAATAAAACACAAACAAAAAAATTTTTTTTAGAAAATCACAAACACAAAAAAAAAAAAAAAACTTTTACAAAAAATCATAGAACACAATCAAAAAGTACACTTCCCCCCCCCCCCCCTTATTGCATAAATTTTTTTTAATTCAAAAAATTATTCCCAATTATAAAACTAATTTGTATATATAAACATATTCCCTCTCTCTCCCATGCACATATTCACAAAAAAAAAAAAATTTAACAAAAAATCATTTTTTTTTCAATAACATTACTCGCATGTATGATAAAAAAATTTTGATGTGTTCTTTGATTTTTTGTTTAATTTATGAACGATTATTTTATTTGATTTTATTTATATTTTTTTTTTATTCTGAATTGGATAAAAATGATAAACATATTATTATTAAGAGTACTTTAGAGTGATTTGGAGTTAATTATTATTATTATTTTATTATTTTATTTAAACAAAAAGAAATTATAATATTTTATTTTTCCAAAAAAAAAAACCAAAAAAACCAAAAAAACAAACAAAAAAAAAAAATATTTAATCATTAATCCATCTTATATATATTTAATTTTTCCATTCATTACATTCATCATCTAATTATCCTTTTTTTAATTTTTTTTTTTTTCTTATCTACGGGATTTAATTTTTATCCTTCATTCCTTTCTCTTACCTCTTTTTTCTTGTATATAATGTATTTACACTATTGTTATTTGTTTATATTAATTATCAGCCTTTTGATTAAAATCAAACAAAAAAAGTTCAATGTCCGTAAAGGAACAAAAAAAAAAAAAAACTAAATAAAGTGACAAAACCTTTTAATAGTCTAAAAAAAAATTTGCAAAGTTTTAATAAGCATTATGAAAGAATCACGATTACCACCAAGATCAAAAAAAATATGGACTATAAAAAGCTGCGTTTCGGGAAAATTACCATAAACTTGAGTAAAATCTCAGAAAAGTATCTGGTCCAACATTATCGAGATCAGAGTTATTAAAAATAATTCTTGAAAAATAAATTAAAAATAAAAAATGTTTATCTATCGGGATGCTAATTCCAATAGTAGATCAAATGCTAAAGATATGTCACATAGAATCGAAGCATGCATTATAGTCAATTTATTTTTATTTAAAATTTTTTAAATTTTTTTTTTTTTGGCTGACCGGGATACTTTGTAGTGTATATTTCCATGAATAAAACAAATCATGATTTATTATAATTAATTTTACTATATAAGGGAAAACTTTAGGGGGTGATTATTGAAATTGGTTACATCATTGTTTACATTTTGTAATAAAGTTCTATGAGGCACCACATGTATAAATCTTGATATTTTTTTTTATAGATTAAGATTTACCTTTTTTTTTTTAGAGTTGATACTCAAAAAAAAATAAAAGTTTATCGCACATGATTTGGAACTCTTCGCTGATTAATTCTTTTCTTCTTGATGAAAAAATGTTCTCATAAAACAATTTTGATCAACTGACCCTTTTTTCCCCCTAAGTTTTAAAAAAAAACAAGATAAGAAAATTTTTAATTGATACACGCCTTCGATCTCATTCTTGGTAGGTTATCAGGTTTTCAATTCAGGGTTCAATGTATATTTTTAAAACTTTTCTAAAATGACTAAATTGCCACGTTTCAAATTAGTTTCATGTAATATTACTATTTTTACGCCAGTGCAAGATAAATTATTTATTTACTTGATAAGCTATGCATATAAAAAAATTTAGGATTTTAAGGATTTTAAGGTTAAACTTCCACATGCTAAACCGAGGTAGGTACAGTGCAGTGGATAACTAAAAACATTATGTAATTCAATTCTATTAATTCTAATCAACCCCTTCCCTATCATGAAACAATGAATTGCATCTGACGAATTAAACGAATTAAATCACTTTCCTTTTTTTTCCTTTAATCTTGTTCTGTTTGGGTTTTAACCTTTTCTTGTCAACAATATTCTCGTGATTGTTTATAATTGAGTCGTGTTTAATGAATTGGAATTAGCACCCCTGAATTTGTTTTTTTTTTCAATGCGACAATGAAAAAAAATTAAATTATATTT